AGGAGCGCCAGGGGAGCGCGGGGTGGGTGAGGGCCGTCTGCAGCGGAGGTTTTCCGAGCCTCGGTCACGGGCTAGGGAAGGAGAAAGCGGATGGATCACGCACCTGCAACTGGATTGACTTCCGGTGCCGGTATTTAGCAGCGCGGTTGGCTGAAAGACTTCCACCTGGAGGCAGCTCATCGCCGGTCCGGGCTGTAATTACTGACAGCCTTGCCAAATAAAGGGAGTCTTGTTCGAATCGTAGTGAGGAGTTTAAAAACTCAAAAGTGACAGTAGTTAGCACCAAAAAATGTATATGCATTATCAAAAGGCCTGTTTAGCAAAAGGGTGCCACGTTTCTCACTTTTTCTTTCTTCATTTTGTGAATTTTCTGATCAGAGCCACACTTTGAAAAGCTATGCTGCTAAGCTGTCTTCATCATTTATCACGAACTCAGTCAGGAGGCTTAATGAATTTTCAGAAGTGAAACAAGATGGAGATGGCCATCTCGGCAAGTGTATTGTAATAACAGGGCTTTCTTTCAAATTAAATACTTTTCTTAGGAACTTGGTAAAATGCCAAATGGCATAAAAACCCATCTAAATTATCCTTTCCCACAGAAAACCAAGAAGCAGCAGAACTCTCTTAAAAACTGTTTCAAAACAGGAAGTGATGTGGTTAAACATTTGAATGCTTCAGCTCAGTACAAGGTACAGAGGTGCCAGAGCATACCTAGAATTGGGAAATGTGTTATGATTTTCTGTACATTACTATATACAGGCCTTTTGCAAACACTGAAATAAATATCACAGGTTTTTAAAACATACTTTCCAGGCTTCTTAGAACACTAAACTACTGCAAGTATCTTCAGGACAGGTTCTTTGAAAATACAACTGATGAATAAGCTCTTTTTTCCCCAACAACCTTCTGCATAATTTCACTTGCAGAATAGAAAATGGCTCATAAACAATAATGTTTAATATTTTTTATCATATAAACACATCAGAGTTGTTCATCACCTTGCTAATTCTCAGCAAGAAGAGCCAACCTCCTTCTAATTGCAAGAATGGGAAGTAGGTCTGCTGAAGTCAGTGAAGCAACAAAAGTGGAAGCATTGCTGTCTACAGTGCGTGTTATAAAATCCTGGACATCTAATTAAGACCTTTTTGTAACTTTTTTTTTTTTTAATAAAGGAATTATTCTGGAGTATGAACAAGGTGGTGAGCCAAAGACCAGATGTATAGATGTACTTGATCTTAGACCTGGGTAAGTATGATGTTATTTCAGATAACTGCACTCTGCTGTTTTATAGCGTGCTCATATACAACTCTATTTGATTGTTTTAAACATAATGGAGGTCAGCTGTCTTTTTTCACTAAAACACACACACAGAGAAAAGAAAATAACGTCAAATCATGTTCCTACTATTTTAAATACAGAATCTTGCATTCCAGCTGATTATTTCCATCATGCTTTTCTATTCAGAGGTGAAGCCTCTTTTTGCTTATAGAGTTATGACTATCAAGATACCTTTACAAAGCCAGCAGAAATATACAGCACTTAACGTTGTAATGTTGTGATGAATGACAGCTAGTTCTTGTTCTCAGGTCCTGTAATAGTATTTCTGGTCTTCAGAATGTTTTCAAAAAGTGGGTCTAACTCATCCCCCAGTTACATTGGTTTAAATGACCTCCCTTGAAATCACTGACAATAACAACTAGACATGAGTTTGGATCTTTCATTAATTAATTAATCTTCATAACAACCATAGGTAAGGTGGTGTAAGCTAGGCAGGTAAGTGATTCTCTCTCATATGTTTGTGTGGAGAAATTAAGTATCTGCTTCTGTTGCAAGTACTGGAAGTTTTCTGGTTTCTTTTGCTATGAACCTAATTGCAGTTGGCTTCTTTGAAAGAATAAGTAAGAATGCACAATCTGATTTTCTAGTCTATTTCTTTTTCTGTTCAGCCTGGAGAAGAGAAGGTTCTGGGGTGACCTTATACAGCTTTCCAGTACTTAAAGGGGGCCTACAGGAAAGCTGGAGAGGGACTTTTTACAAGGGTGTGTAGTGATAGGACAAGGGGAAATGGATTCAAACTGAAAGAGGGCAGATTTAGGTTAGATATAAGAAAAAAATTCTTTACATTGAGGGTGGTGAGGTACTGGAACAGGTTGCCCAGAGAAGTTGTGGATGCCCCATCCCTGGAGGTGTTCAAGGCCAGGTTGGATGAGGCTTTGGGCAACCTGGTGTAATGGAGGATTTCCCTGCCCATGGCAGGGGGTTGGAACTAGATGATCTTTGAGGTCCCTTCCAACCCGAACCATTCTATGATTCTATGATTCTATGAAAGAAAGTGAAGGACCTTGATATATCTAGAAGTCAGGGGTTGGCCTAACTGAAGAATAAAAAAATACAATGTATTTCAAAGTAAAGTTTAGATTTAAATTTGATAGGATATCGTTAGGTAGGATAGAAGGCAGAGGTCACCTTAGGAGGAAGTAAGTGAAACTTGCTGTATGGAGAACGATAGTCACATCTGCCCCTGGAGTTGTCCAGCTTAGTGCTCTGGATAAAACCTAATGAATTACTTTCTGAAAGAAATAAGTTGTCTGGTATTACTTAACAGGAGTATAAACACTGAGAGGACACTAATTTGTGGGGATGTTAGTGGCTCCCATTTAGAGGGCTGATATAGAAAATCCACTTTAGACTGCAATAATTTACATACTAACAGAAATGCTAGGCTTTCTTGCTAGGACTAGTTTTAAGTGTATGTTGGTGCTTTGACTGCCAGGTATTGTCAACCTTCAGTTTCTCATGGATGGCCAGGAATCAGCAGTTTGCCTGATGGTAGGAAAAGATGATCCAATTCCACAGACTAGTTGTGAACCACTTCCTGGGGGCTCCGTGGGCATCAATAGACTGTGAACCACATTTTGGAAGTTATGATCATAACTAAGAGTTATAGTAACAGGCACAGGTTTGTGAAGCCACAGACAGAAAATTTTAAAACTTTCCATATATGGTTTATTTTGTTGCTACTTCATGTGCAATTCATTTGGAATTTATGAAATTCCACTTCAATTTAGATATTTATTCCAAAACTATCAGTTTTGAATACATATCTCCCATGTCTGACTCTCTGTGGAAATCCTTTGAAAAGGTAAATTTCTTTCCAAACTTAAATTTTTAGAAGTTACATCTTACTGAACAGCTTTAGTAAGAGAAGGAAGTATAGAAACCAAGAAAGATTTATTCATGTTTCTTTTAGCAGTTACAGAATGAGACAAACACATATAATTTAATTGCTTACTTCAGTTTCTCTGCAAGTAAATAATATTCTTAGTTTTGTATCCGTAATTATTGCCAGAGGATGAAATCTGGTGGGTTTGGGTTTTTGTGTGATTTTTTGTTTGTTTGGTTTTTGTTTTCTGTTTTTTTCTCATAATTAGCACAGACGCTATAGCCTTAGTAGAACAAATTCAAAAAGCAGAACCTCTCATCACTGCTTTGCGCAAGGAGCATGTCATACATTTAGTACGAAGATTGCAAGAGATGCTAGGAGAAAAGGAGGACCACAAGTTCTACCTTTTTAAGGTCAGAGGCATCTTTAAAATAATTTGGGGCATTTTGGGGGGTTTCAGTTGTGATGTTGCGAGTATGTTTTTGCTGCTGCATATTGCACCTGAGAGGAAAATTTGGACTTTATGACCAATATCTTGGCTCTTTTCAATCACCTCTGCACTGTTTAGAGCAACTGAGTCTGGCCTGGTTATGTCTGCCGGGAGTTCCCCCAAAAGGCTGGGAGATATAACTGTTCCCAGACACCATTTACACAGGTTTATGTACAAAGGGTATGTTTTGGAGGCAGAGAAGTAATTCTCTTATTTGTCAAATAAGACTCTGTGGACCAGCAACACTCATAGCTATGTTTAAACAAAACCTGTAAATAGACCCTGAGTAAACTACCTGCTGGGAAAGACCCAAAATATTTTCATACCCTTGTCTACATTGTTCTCATTTTGTGAAAATTATGGGTTTTATGTACTCTGCTACGTACTGTAATACCGGTTGTCATTACTTTCTGCCATTACTGTTATGTTTGAATACTGATAGCTTGATCTTCAGCTTACAGATAGTACTTAAAAAATTATTTTAATTGAGTAAGCTTTTTAAGAACAATGATTAGAGAAACCTTTCAGTGCTTCCAATCCAGGATTCAGTCTGTCAGAAAAGAATAGGCTGAATTGTATTTAGTTGTGGAAATAAAAATAAAATTACTTCCAGAGATCGCATGTTGCAATCTGAAATAATTACGTGCTATATTTCTTTTATGTCAGCAGATGGCAATGTGTAGCTATTAAAAATTGCCAGTCAGTGCCATGTTATTGATTGTTACCTTAAATTTAGAGAGAAAAACCAGAAGTTCTGTGTTGGTTTGCTTGGCTAAAAAAATACCTTACATATTGTCAGGTATAACTTGAGTCCTTTTGACCAACAGTACACATCTGGGTGAATTTTACAAAAGTCTGTGTATTTAACCTTGAAAACAGAGATATGTAATAACGCATCTCAAATTCAAAAAGTTTCTGTTCTAAGATATGCTTTTAAAATTGTTTTTTCATCACAGAGACTGACAAATCATCAAATGCTTGTTCAAATTGCAGTGTAAATAATGTCTTTGTTCTTAATTGGGCATAGTGCCACATTTGAGCTTCTGTATTTGGGAGTACTAGAGACAGACAAATCCAATCAGTACTGCATTATTTTCTTCACTCAAGAGTAGTTAGAAGTGTGTGAAAAGAAGTTGGTTTATGTTTCAGATCCATTTAAGGCTTGTAAATGAAACATAAGTATCAGGTGCTTCTGAGATACTAATAAAATACAAGGGGTGGGTGGGAGTGAGGTGGTGGGGTTTTATTCCAAAACATGTTCCATGTGTTTGTCATTATTTGGAAGTGAATATTTTTTCCTGTTGCACTGGAGCATAATCTTAAATGAGTGCATAAACCCATCATTTTATTATTTCCAGTAATTGGGGTGACAGTGTTGTGTTAGACACCCTGCAGAGAAACAAGCTTTTGTAACAATTTCTCTGGTTTCAAGCTATTACATAGCAAGGGTATGCTGTAGTGATTTGCAGATTTTTATCTTAAGGACTGCTGTAGCAGATTTTGCAGAACCGAGGTGGATTTTTTAAATAGTGCCTTAGTGTTTGATTGTTGTATCATTCTCACAAGTAATTCTTGCTGGCTTAGAGTTCTGTGGACGAAGCAACTGCAGCACTGGGCATTGGAAGAACAGAATTAGTCCTGTGATGTGCAATCAGACATAAATCCATCTCATTTTCCTCCCCCTTTTTTTTTTCATAATTGTTAAATATGTTTGTTGTTTTGAGCTGCCTGGATGAAGCCCTAAAAATGTCACGGATCAAATTTCCATACATTTCCATAATTATCCATTCTCACATGCAGATATATCTATACTGTGGCTGTTTTTAAAAATGCAAAATATTTTTGTTGTTTCCACATCCTGCTTGCCCATTCCCATTGCCGTAGCTCAAAGTACAACTTGTCTTACTTTCCCTAGAGAACAGAGAACTCTAACATAAAAGATGTTTTCTGTTTCTCTCAGTCCTTCTCTTGACTATTGTTATTTCCATTTTGATCAGTCTCTACTGAGTAGAAGATCTCTGAGCTCCCTTCATTTTGCTTTTGGAGACAGGTAGCTGAGAAAGCTAGAGATAGGAACAAAAATTTGAAGGTCTGGTCATATGTCAGTGACTAAATCACATTGCTAACAAATAGTTTCTTCTTCATTCTTACACTACAGAGAAGAACTAGCAGACCACTACTGTATTTTTATTATCCCTTTACTTCACTGTCAGCAATTGCTGTGATTTCCTAGGTTATGATTTCTATGCTTTAAACTTGAGCAGAAGCCAGCTTCTAACAGGTGAAAGTTGTTCAAATGCAAACCCTGTTATACAGTAGGCAGCTTGTTCAAACACAAACCAGATTATACTTTTTTTTTGGTCATTTTCTAAGTATCACGGCATTCTGACTTTCTTTGATGGTATCTGAAACTATTTTCCCCTATGTTTAATAAAATTTAATATGTGTTATTATGGCTATGAGATAATTTACGTTGAGACATATATACTGTCTTATTAAAAGACAGTAGTGCAATAGTGCATTGCAAGTAGAAGCAATGTTAGGAAAACAGTGACCTCCATAACCTACACAATACAGACAGACATCAAATTTGAAATTCCCTTTGAATTTTGTTGAAATAAGTGTCTTTGTTATGGTTCTACATGACTTTTTTTTGTCATGATCTCATAAGACTTAGATGTAGCTTATTTCTGTTCTTCCTGGTTTTTAAACCAAAATCATATACAAGCTGAAAGCATCCCATAACCTAAAAGACTCAAAATACTCAATTCGGCTGGATCTCTTGATTCACTATATAAAGCTTAATATTAGTTGGGATTTCTTTCATCACTGATCTCACCCGGCATGGTCTTTCTCATTTGTTTCTACCCTTTCAGCTCAGGTCTATGGTTACTTTGCTGGTCTCAGAGAAAGTGGAGAAAAAGCAAATATGGTGTAAAAGATAGTTCATTCAAGTAAAATATAAATTTGAAATCAATACTATATAATACCTGCAGTGATAATCTGCTGAGGCATGGGGGATTTTTTAGTTTGGGATTAATGTGTTTCAGCTGTAACTGCTAATCTGATGGGAGGAGGAGGAAATATTAACCTACTGAATATTTTGAGCAATTGTTTATTTTTTTTTTATTATTATTATTATTTTTTGTTTTATTTGCATCAAACGTTGTTTTCATCTCCCTCTCCACACTTCTATTTCAGGTACTTAGAGCACATATATTGCCACTGACTGATGTAGCATTTAACAAATCTGGTTCTCGGTAAGTTGTTTTCAAAATCAAAATACATAATCACTGATTGAAGTTTTGTATTTTTAAATTAAATTGTAAGGGAATTTCAGTGCTCTTATCTTGCTGCAAAAAGAATTCAGCTGTGCTGCTTATAAGCAGCTTCAAGCATGATTGGAGATTAGATACCAGGCCTCTGCAGGAGAACCAATGGGAGATGCAAAAAAGTAGCAGGTGAGATTCAATCTATGTAATTTTTTCCTTTCTAGGTGACAGTTTGTTAACAAATACCATATTTCAGAATAAAGCATCTTTATGGCAATAAAGTGAATTGTACTAAAAGCTAGATAAGTATTTGACATAAATTCATTTGGAGTTTCATTGTAGTGCAATTTCATGTTAATTGATTTCACTGTTGGCGTATGCCTAATCATTTTTTCTTTCATGTCTTGAAAGCAGCGGCTTGCTTTCTAGTTGAAATACATTAAAGATTAGAAACAAGTTTTTTTATGAGTAATTAAGAAAAAAAAGAAGGAATCTCTATGGTCATCAATCCATATTTTTGAAAGAAAGAAGAGATTTAAAGTCTGAGACAGTGATAACTGACATCAGTGGAAATAACTCATTTGACTATGCACCAGCACCAGTAAGATATTTACTGTATTCAGAAATTAATTGCTCTTTGCTTTAGCTTTATCACTGGAAGCTATGACAGAACCTTCAAAGTATGGGATACTGCCTCAGGAAAGGAGCTACGTACGCTGGAGGGACACAGAAATGTTGTCTATGCAATAGCTTTCAATAATCCCTATGGGTAAATATATTTTCTCTGAGATAGTTCATAATTGCTAATTATGTTATTTTGCAAATACAAAACTGTTACTCAAAATTTAGCATAAAATAGACTATCTCCAATTGAAAGAGTTCGAATTCTGAATTTGTAAAGTTCAGCTATAGCTAACCACTGTGGGACGACACTGTATATTATTTATGTAAGAGATATATTCAAGCATGTTTTCGGCTATAATTTTTTAAAATGAAATTTAGAAATTTAAAGGGTAAATTTCATTAGGTATTCAGTGTCTTGAGAAATACATGTATGAGTCAATTTAATATATTGAAACACAGATTTATTTCAATAAAATCTACATGATCAGATTGTGTTCTGAATGTTACTCATTCTTTACCGCCTTCATGTAATTGTGTATGATGTGAGATATAAGTACTTACAACAGCTTGTATTGCTTCAGTTAAAGAACATTTTTGTCATGACAATAGTGGATTTCTCCATTTGGTATTGCACATTCATTATTATTTAGGGCATGATTTAGAAGTATCACAGCTATTGTGTAATTTTTATAAAATCCACATGGTGCCGCTGTGTGAATGTCAGATACAAATCTACACATCTTTGTTTTCTGCAATCTCTGTTTGCCCTAGGTTAGAATTGCCACCTGTTAGGTGAAGGGAATTACATGTTAGCTATTGAAGTTTCATTGTCATTTGCTTCCTGAGGAAGCTGTTGTATGTAAGTAAACCATTTTGCTTCTCTGTAAAATAAGAGAAATTAATTCCTATTTTTATATTGAATCACATTACTTCTTTCACTGTCAGATGTTCTATTTATCAGTTAAGTGATACGCAGTTAACAGCTGAAAATAAAGACTTGTTCTTAGGCTATTTGGAGCATCATCATTTCCTTCTAAATGGAAAGACTTTATCTAATCTAAAACCTGCTATGTCAGTGTCTTATATTCTGATATTATTCTTGACTTTAAAAAAGTAATTAAGTTCTTTTATACACTTTGAAGAAACTAATGTATGACAAAAATCTGTGCAAAGATCAATAACTAGACTGTAACATAAAAGTGGAAAAGCAATATATAGCAAGCAAAAACCTGATGAGAACCTTGAGGTACATTTAAATTAAAAGTTCAGTAAAAACAGAACTTTTTTTTTCTGCTAATCTTTAGGTTTCAATACAGTTTCCCTTACTGTATTTTCTGGCTACCTCACTTCAGTTCAGTCTTGCTCTAACTCCAGCTGGTCACAATGCTTCCACTAACTTCAGTGGAAGTGGAGTTCAACCTCTGCTTATAAAAAGGGTTTATAACTGTTGATAAACAGATGCTATCTGATTAAATGACATAATATTTAAATACATCTGGAGTACAGCACATAACCACATCCCTAACGTAGGTTAGTCATGAGTTATATGAACACTTCTGTGCTAATAGACAGGCACAGTGGTTCTTTCAGAAACTAATTAAGTCTGATAATTTTTTCCCTTAAAGTAACTTCTGTTTGTGAAATCCTGCTCCAGGATCTTGTAGTGCAGGCAAATACACCAAAGTGCATACAAGCTTCAATGACTGGGTATTGTTCCTGTGAGTTCTACTGTCTTTGAAGTCAGAGTTGGTTTTTTTTAACAAAAATGACAGGATTTTTTCCATATAGTGACAAGATTGCCACTGGATCTTTTGATAAAACCTGCAAACTGTGGAGCGTGGAAACAGGAAAATGTTACCATACTTTCAGAGGACATAATGCAGAAATAGTGAGTACTGATGGACATTTCTTATTCCTTTATGTTTCCTCACACCATCATTGATGGCTGTGAGTTCCAAGTCCCTGTGAGCTGACATTAGAAGGGGCAGCTATTCTGCTGCATCTATTCACACATTCAGATATTGTGAACATTTCTGCACTGCAAGAAAAGATAGCTTGACAGTTCTTAGGAAATAGATAAAACATTATGTACAGTTTGAAATAATATTTTTATTTTTAGTTTGTTCCAATTTCTATTGTTGCTAAATGTTAAAACATTTTTGAAAAATACCATAACAACAAGAATTTTCAATTTAGTGCATATATTTATTTCTTTATTTGTTTACATATCTCATTTTTTTTCTAGATATCTTGCATTGAATCTCATATTTGCAGAACTAAATACACAAGAACATTATTGCTTGTATTGCTGACTTTCATGCTGAGATCTGTACTTCATGTACGGGACCAATTTGAGCCATAAAAGAATGAATTTATGAAATTTTAAGTGATTTAACTAGGAACACGTGGGATGTTGAAATGTCAAAGACACATGAAATGAAAACAGTTTAAGCTTAAAAATGGTTTGTTTCCTTTCCAATGCACTAGGTGCCCTATGGCAACAGCAAATATCTTGATAAACGGCATTCTGATTTAAAAGATCAGGGCAAATTCACTGAAAAACTTCATTTCAATGCAGAATATATTTTTTAACAAAAATCATAGAATCATAGAATAGTTTGGATTGGAAGGGACCTCAAAGATCATTTAGTTCCAACCCCCCTGCCATGGGCAGGGACACCCTCTACAACACCACGTTGCTCAAAGCATCATCCAGCCTGGTCTGGAACACTTCCAGGGATGGGGCAGCCACAAACAGCTATACAATCTTTATTCAATAAAACATTTCCAGAAATTGTTTCTGGAAACAATTGGAATTTAATTTGTAGATTGCAAGGCCTATAACTAGTGTGAGAAGACAGTGATTTAACTTGGTAGAAGTTGAGGTTGGTTTCAGTGATTCTCTGGATTGGTTTTTGATTCTCTGGATCCTTTGAAACAGTTATCCTTTACGATGGAGAACACTTTTACTTATTGAGACAGGCTGCAGTGATTTTGCTTCCACAGATCAGTTAGCTAAATATTTAAAGGCCTCTCAATTTCTTCTGACTTCTGTAGGAGTTAGATTAGACCCAAAGTGTTATGAGTTGTGCTAGCAAGTAATTAATAGAAGGTAATAGCTAACAGAAAATTATGTGTTTCTCTGAATGACACCTGCTTCTGAAAGACCACTATTGCATATTTGCCACATTGCTGGAAAGGGCATGTCCATAGTTATTCAGTATAAAAAAAAAAAAAAGAAAAAAAAAGAAATGGACATAGTGAAAATGCACCAGTGACCTCAGCTAGTCTTTTCCTTTTCACATGGCACCTCCTATTCGAATAAATACAGAGAATGGGAAGATGACTACATGATTTTTTTATGTGAAAAATGAATTAAGGAAGTTGTTGAGCTTTTGTTCTTGCTTTTTCACAAATAAATATGATGTTGTGTAGATGCCCTTGGCACATGGTCTAGATAATGCCATCTCTTAAGAGTGTGAGTGTACAGAGTGTGTTTGTAGGTACACAAAACTGTCTGGAGGGTCTTTGCCCCAAACTGATCAAGTTAAAGACAAAGTCTACCAATTGATAGCGTTAGGGAGGACTGTCAGCCAGGTTGAACAGTAAGTGCAGAATCTCAAAGATAATTTTGACATGAAGAAGTAGAATTTTGAAATAACGAAAAAGAAAGAAGTAGAAGAAGATAAAAGCATCAAGACAATTTATAACAGGGTGAGGGTGACATTGTTCTGGAAGCAGCAGTTGTCAAAACCTGCTCTGGTGCTTCCAGAATTCACCCTGGTCATCACAATCTCTGCCTAGACCAGAAAGCATAGCCACCTGTTTGGAGACCCCATGGAGAGTCTGCATCTGGCTAACTGATTGTCAATACGGGGTTCAAGAAAAAGGCCCCATTGTCGCCCCTTGTAACATGTGCATATGTGAATTTGGATGCCTTCTCTCTGGCCTGTGGATCAGCAGATTGTAGAAAGTGGCATGAGTTCAACTAAAGCAAGAGCACTCACATCTCTTGGGGGAAGTGTGTGCAAGCAGGGGAACACAAACTCCTAGGATAGGGGTGTGCGCTTGTAACCCTAGCATCCTGTGAGAGAGGAAGAGTGTGCATCTGAGAGTGTGAAAGTGTGTGTATGGTTAAAACTTCTTGGAGTTAGAGAAGGAGGTTTAGAAATTTGTAGCTGTTTACTAAGACTGCATCAATTTATCTGTTGTATTACAGATACCTATACAGTTCTCTGCCAGTTAACTATGTGCTGTTAATAAATTAACAAAGTGCTTCAGTCTTGATTTTCATTAAAACTTTGTGAACTAAATACTTTCTTCCCATGACACAAAATGAAGCACCTAAATACTGAATTTTAATCCAGGCTCATAAAAAAAACCCCAGAAAATCTTCCAGTAAGTCTTTTTAATGCATTGCCGTTGCAAAGCAGCCATTTAGTCCATTTGATTTGAGTAGTCATTCAGAGCTATGTGATAAGGATTTGCTGCTCTTCTAGTGATCTGTTGGAAGAACTCTGCTATTTTTCTGTATGCCATAAAATATTAAGTCAGACTTTTGTCTTGTTTAAAAATATTGATCTTCTCCAATTGCTTTTGAGAAAAGGTATATAAATACTCTCCCACTTTTTCCATCCAACATTTCTTGCTACAGGTATGTTTATCATTTAATCTTCGGAGCACATTGGTGGCAACTGGAAGCATGGATACCACTGCCAAATTATGGGATATAGAGAAAGGAGAAGAAATAGTTACTTTGAGTGTATGTTTGCCTTCCTTATGTTTTTAAAGGTGTTCCTTGCTTGCTTAGTTTTCTAACTGAGATAAATAACAGTATAGCCCTTACAACAGTTTCAAAACTTGCTGTTTCTTTTACCAGGTGGTCCCACAGTGACTGCAGTTACAAAACAGATTAAGAAAACTTGAAGGGAATGATAAAGCTCTGGTATTTTATAAGAAGTCTTATTTATGAAAAGACAGATTTTCTCATTTCAGTGACATTACTGCTATAGATTAGAATGTCTTCCATTACTCATAAAAGAAATGTTGCTGCACTGTAAATTATGACCTTCTTTGGATTAACATAAAGTAGCTCTGAGAACATTAATGTCAGACACTACATCTGTAGGGATCTTCCTGTAAACATCGGCAGAGGACAGCCATCCTATTACCTCTAGATTGTGATGTCTCTCTGCTCTACTTGGCTTGCTGGGATTTCACAGGTTCAAATTGGCCTGTGCTGTTTCAATGCATTTCTCTTGCATAAATCCTAAATAACAGGGAATGCATAAGATTCCTTTGGCATATGTGGCCTATAGAGTGAGGAAGGCATTTTCTCCTCCTTGACTTTCTCTTCCTCAAAGCCCTGAGCAGAGCAAAGAGCAGTGGAATGTGTGAACCGTTAGCTCATAAGTATACTTACATTCATTTTTCCAACCCTCTCCACCAGCACCAATGACAAGCTGTACTGTAGTTTAGTGTAAATGAATCATCTGATTTCAATAAGTATTGGTGAACAAATGTGATTTTGTTTAAATCAAATACAGAAAATATGCACTGATGACATCACTGGACAATCTCACTGCTTAGATGATATACCTGATTTTTTGCAGTTGTTGGGATATTGAGTGTCACAAAGTCCAGTAGATCTTTCTGTCAAAATTATGATATATTGGACAAGACAGTAAATAATATATTGAAGGGTTATAGAAGGATTATGCTGCTGAAAAAAAAAAGCTACTTATTAAACTACATAATTTTCATTCTCATACTCCTTTTTAAAAACTGTCTCAGGGCCACTCAGCAGAAATTATTGCATTGTCTTTCAACACCACTGGAGATAGGATTGTCACTGGCTCCTTTGACCATACAGTACGAGTGTGGGATGTTGGCACCGACAGGTACTAAAGCACTGAAAAATATAATTTTGCATTGCATGTTTTAATGACAAATGAAAGAGACAATGTTGAGCTATACATTACAAACCTTGTGTTTTTGCTTCACTTAGAGTATGCGTTCCTTCATCTTATCATTTGTTACTCCTGTTCCTTTTGTTCTTCTGAAAAGGAATGCTGCTCATGAAATGCTTTTGTATGTGTTTTTTGTTCTAAATTTCCATCTCATGAGAACTGAGGAGGCAGACAGAATAGACAGATCCTGTTTGTTGCTGATGAATTCTCCAAGCAGGAAAATATTTTATCAACACGTAAACTCATGGTTTGGAAGGTGCCTAGAATTTCTAGATGGAACAGACCGCTTAAGTAGAAAGAAAGCATATTTTATGTCATAGAAAATTAGTCTGGTCACATTGTCTTTAAAAACTATAGAGGATCTGTTTTCATTCTCACAATCCTTTATGTCAGTATAAATTTATAAATAGGATGAAAATTGTCCCCTCTGACTGCAGAGAACAAAAAAGCTTGATTATGATGCCAACAAATAATAATGCAGTGGCTAAATATGGACTTGTTGTATTATCCAGACAAATCCACTTGTTTTTTCAACTGGAAACTCAGTATAAGTAGAATGATAAAATAGTTGCCCTTATTACTGACAAAGTAATTTATGAAGATAACAATTCTATTATGTTTTCAGAGATCACGTCTTTTTTTTTTTTTTGTGAGAGCAAGGGCAATATCTCTGAAATTTATACATAAATGAAAGTATGTGTATAGTGATATCTTAAAGTAATAAACAATGTTTATCACTTCAAAATGACAGTAATCATGTGATTTAAAAATAATGTACACATAGTAAATCACTTAAGGTTTGATCCTGTAAACTTTGAGCTTATTCAAAACCAGCAGTTTAATATTTGGCATGTAAATACTTAAGAGGCACTCATTCAGCAAATCGGACCTCTGTATTCAACTTCATTCAGCCTGATGTTCTTGCAAATATTTTTATTTGAAAACAGCTGCTTCTTCCAGCTTCTTGTCTGAGCCTGCAGAGAAGTCAAAGTCTTGGGATTTTCACGTTACTTCTTTTTTTCTATGAAATGAATGTGGACTTCACGTCAGGTTCAATACCAGGAAGAGCAATATGAAGAAGAAAATTCTCTTTTAAACAATTGAAGCTCTGGTAATTAGCTAGTGGACAACACAGTTGTGCCAGGGCCAGCATACAGCCTTTTAGATTTGCAGTTGGGCACGTATACGTTTAGTAATAATGAAAAGTTGCAGTCAGAAAGACTGTGAGCAAATCATACTTTACTGCATACTGGTTCAGGTAGATTTGCAAAAATCTTGTAGGTGAGGTTGTGTGCGCCTGTCTTTCACCATATAAAATACCTGAGAAACACTGCTTTCCAAATTTGGGTTTGAACTTGAAGTTTCTTTTAATTTTACTGGCTGGCTCTGAAGAGTGTCTGTGTTCCTCAGTTTTGTCCTGAGGCAAGTTCATGTATGGACAAGAAATCTCAAGAAGGTTCAAGATTTTCTTCATAAAATGTTAAAACTTTTTAAAAAAAAAAAAATAGTGGGGGGCGTGGGGCAGAACATGCCCCATATGTTCAACATATGTTGAAGCTTGAAGTCTAGACAGCTTTTTCAAAATTTGGAAATTAAAGTTTTTAGATTTTAAATTGAAACTTTTTTCATTATTAGGTATTTTAGGTATTAGATATTACAATAACAGCAGTCTAGATGGCCAAAAAATATGTTCACAAAATTAAGAAGTTTTCCACTGTTGTTTTCTGCTTGTTGATCTTTGCTTTTACTGTAAAAAGATCAAAACAATTACAACAGTGCAGGCCTCATGTTGATAGAAAGTAAAAGGAGTAATTCTATAAAATGACACGAGTATAATCAAGTTGTTGCTATCATAAAAAAAAAAAATTAATTTGTTCAGTAGATTTGGTTTGCTGTTCATTTAGCATATATATTAATTTAGCTACCCTTACATATCTTACGTAATGGATAAAAACATTTCAGTCACTTGAACTCATTTAGTTGTTTTTCTAGTCATTAATTTATCCATAAGTTAAAGCAGTTTTCTATTAATGATACAGTAATATTAGCATTGTAATAATAACCTGATTTACTAATCCTTTAATATACATATATCAATTAATCTTTTTTAGGTTTTGTTGCCTTATAGTCTATTAATTCATACGAAGCAATAGTGGCTAACTGTACCCTTTCTATTCAGCTAAAGCTGAAGAATTTTGAGGAACTAGTATTGCCAGTCTTGTGCAGTGAGAAGTTTAGGATTAATGAGGACTAGAAATCATATTTCAGTTTGGCTGTCATTTGCCTGTTACTTGGGAACATGCTCACAGGAATTACCTGATTAAGTTCCATTTGATATTCAGTGGATTTTATAGAAGGTTTAGATAATATGGAGTTTAGTAATATGGAGTTGGATCTGATTTGCTGTAGTTGCTATATTAAGACATAGTACAATTTAAAAAGTTTCCAAAAATGTAATCAATAGCTTATTAAATATAATTAATAGCTTATTAAATAGAATGAATATCCAAAATATAATGAAAGCTTTCTGAGTGTATTGTACATGCATTCTGAAATTACAGACTTCAGTGGTCCATGTTCTATGTGGACATTTGTATTCACATTTTAGAAGTTTTCCAGCAGAAACCATTAAAAAGTTAACCTTTTCCAACCAGATTACAGATCCTTTTGACATACTTTATCCATGGTGGAAACTGTGTTAAGATTGTCTTCTATATATTTTGAAATCAAACCTGAGGATGAGGTCCTTCTGACGTTATTAAAATGTCCTTATTGAAATGCATGCTTAAGCATAACAGTCACAAATGACTTCTAATCTACCACAACAGGATCAGCAAGAGTCTATAATGAAGAAACAAAAAAGTGCATTGCAAAGCTAGAAGGGCATGGAGGTGAAATTTCAAAGGTAAGTTGTTTGTGGTTTGCACCTTTTCTTATTTGATTATGTGTGACATCCAATCCACCAGTTATTCCATGACACAGGGATACTGTTAAAGAATGTGGTAGTAAACACATTAATATTTAAGATTGAGAGGTCTAGCTAAGATGTTATCTTTACTAAAAAGGCTTTCTTTTTTGACTAAAAGCTGTCAATGGTTGTTGCTAACTCCCCGCTTGTGAGCTAAGATAATACTGAGTCTGCTACTCCCATAGACTCCACCAAGAGCCTTCTCTCTATATTGTCATGTTATTTACTATTTGATTCCTTAGAATTGTGGCAGCTAGCAAGCTACTTAAGAAGTCTATCCCTCCCAGGGGTGAATACCTAGCTTTGTTAACATTGAAATGATTGTTTTTCCTTACCTCTTTCCTTTTTCTGAAACAGTGTATGGGTTGGGTCTCTGCAATCCCTTGACAGAGAACAGGGGAGCAGAGAGGGAGATGCTGTTCAAATGTTCTCTCACTATGATCATAGTTAATAGAGATTCTGTCTGACCTGCCCTAAATTGTACTTGTCTTATTATGCCCTTGGAGTCCTCAGATTCTCTGACAAAATAAGCACAAGTTTTTTAGTCTCTTGATGACATCTTAAGCCTATTGCCTCTGAGGCTTTTACCATTACCCTTATTCCTTGCTTCTATCAGATCTGCTTTTCTTTACTCTTTCAATTTCTCTGCACACCTGATTTATGGAACAGAACAGAAAAAAACATATCTCTGTGGCAAAATATGGGGAGAATCTTATTCAAAAGTGTGTCAGGGACTTGGAATTATAAAGGCTGTTTCAAAAATCACTTAGTCATAAGGAATGTGTTCATGTACTTTGCTGGAAGTTTTGTCTGGCTCAGTTTTGAATGACAAAGTTCAGTTTCAAACATTTAATTACTTCCAACATTGTACATATTTTTCAAACTTTCTTATTTAATGCTTGCAGCTTTTCATTATTCTTTCAAATGGATAGTTTTACCTAGCTTCCAGCCTAGTATGCTAAGTCTGTGCTGCTTCTGTTTGATGTATTTTGTAGTTGAAATATTAATATTTTGAAACTAGGATGGTTCTTATTGAACCCCCCCTCCTCACATTCTTTCATTGTATTAATCTGGCTGTTATAATAATGCTGCTGAGAAAATATTAAGTGCAGAAGAGCTAGTCTTTCCTTATTTAATATACTCACTGCAATATTTCACACTCTAGTGTAGATCCACTGAGGAAATGCAGTCTGAATACATGCTGACATGTGGGTGGGTTAGGGACAACTTCCATCAGCATTCTTAGTGCTGGCATGATTTCTTTGCTGGAAGTAAGAATCTGCTCATCCGGGAGCATATTGAGAGGTCCATCTATTTCTGCAGATGTTCTGTGTAGCTATGATCACTTGGGAAGGTTATGACTTGGAAATCAGATTTCTAGGGAACGGGCTTTTTGCCCTCAGTAATTAAGCAATTTTGAATTATATGATAAACCTAGTATTGTCCGGTTAGTGCTACAAAATATAACTGATTATCCGGAAATGCATGCAATTTTGGCAATGAATGCTTAAAAAATATGAAGACATACTACAAAATGAGTTGCCCTCAGTGGAAGTTTTGATATTACAGAGACGTATGTTATTTAATATAGAACTCTGTAAAATATTTATAATTTTTACACTGGAATAATGATAATATTAAATGAAGTTGTTACAGTTGTAAAGCAATTGTGATTTTGGGGGATAATATTCTACAGTCTTGATCTTATAGTAAGGTCATTGTATATAGGCCTTTGTACATACACAAAGTTTTCAGCCACAGAAGTTTACCAGGGTCGCTCTAGAATCTGGAATACTATCCTTAATTTTAGCTGAAAAACTGAATGCAAGAGTTGCTGTTTTCATCTTTTAATCACTAGATATGCCTCCTTTTCTAGGTACATTGACTTGCTAAGTAACATAACTATTTTCTATATTTTTTTAAAGGTATGTTTCAACCCTAAAGGCAATCATGTACTAACAGCCAGCTCTGATAAAACAGCTCGACTCTGGAATGCTGATACTGGACAGGGCCTTCAGATATTAGAAGGTCATACTGATGAGATATTCTCCTGTGCTTTCAATTACAAAGGCAATATAATCATTACAGGTAACATATATATATAAAAATGTATTTTTTTTCTTTTTTTTTGAGAGATATTTGAAATCTTGTTATGGTAAAAAAAGTAAGAGTCTGAAAAGTTTCCTGGGGCCACATTCCGAATTCAGGTACCAGCAGTGACTTAAAACGTAGTCAGGAAAAGCCAAAAACTCACTTTTGAACTGAGGCTTAAGTGAATATGGCCAGGAATAAATTCATATAAAGGCACAGGCATACTTTACCATCTCTTCTATGGGCACATAGTAGCACCAGATCCGTGACTAAGCCATTTTCTCACAAGGCATTGCAGTGAGGGAGGTCTGGATGAGCAAAAAGCAAAGCTTTTTAAATGGAGCACGCCTTTTTTGTATTTGGTATTGACCTCTGTTCAGGTTTCCTTTATTTCAGACAAAAAGCCGTGGGAGTGGCAAAAGATGAGAACAGAGTATTTGCGATTGCTTCAATCTTTTGACTGAAACACCAAAATATGGGATGCAGGATGATCTCAGCTAAAAATATTGCTGTAGGTCCTGCTGTCCTTTGCTAGTTGTGGACGGAAAAATATTTCTCTGGCTCCTCGGCCTT